ATCGAAATGAAGCAGGCGACCAGGGATAGGTGTCAGCAGTTTGCTCAGGTTACACGAGTTTCATCAAGGAGACGACCCGTGAAGGCAATACCTAATATCTACAAGCATGGAAATCAGAGCTTATGTGTCAGGCTTGCTAATGATACAGTGGATGTGTTTCTAAAGACTTGAGAAATAGCGCCTGAGTTAAAACGTACACATGGATTAGAACCGAGTGAAATCAGTCAATCAGAAAGTCAAGAAACGGATCTACGAGGCTATTAGGGAAATCCGTATGAGAGGTTATATTCGGATTGGCTGAGCAAAAGAGAGGGGGCCAAGGTGAACAGAAGGTGTGATGAGACCATACTAAACTTGCCAAAAGGGGAACACCTTTTGACGAATGGAATGTAGACAAGTCACAAGTTGTGACAGGGCGAAAGTGGCATATGCGATAGATAGATGGGTCAGGACCGAAATAAAAATGATAGCCCAACCGTTTTGGCAAAATGTTTCGTCAAGGTATAGACTTCACTAGTCTCTTTGACGAGCTGTAGCTTGGTGCTGAGAATGGCAAGACTCATTGATGATGCCGACTACGTTGCCGGTGAAACGTCTGAGAATGTACCAAGTCCTAGGTCTGACGTTAAGAATTATGATAACTTCTATAGCAGAGGAATTCGGATGGATTGCATTTAACCAAGTCACCCTGACAACAAGACCAAATTGCGAAAACGAGATCAATCCACTTCTTTCTGCATCATATTATACGATGGTTTACTTTTACCCATTTATATTGTAATATGGTAATGTGATAAACCTCCTGAATTCTATTTGAATAAAAGCTGTTCTTAGTATCCCTTATCTGGGGTGGGCTGGCTAATGATTACAAAATATTTTCATTTAACTGTTTAATTCTTTAAGTTATTCATCCTAAACATCAACATTAATGATAGCCGATTCACGCCAAATTGAATACTAAGGCGTGTTTGCCAATATAGTGTTTTTGAGTATATTTCGTTATCTCCCACTCTTCTTCCAATTGAACCGCATTGTCACCTGTTTATACTGACCTATATTTCATCAAAAGGCGCGCTTGAA